CCTTTCACGTCAGGCGGACGTCCCAAGGCGCTGCACAGTTGAGTCATGACAGTTGGCAGTTGGGAGAGGGTTTGTAACGCTGTCTGTCACTAACTGTACTGTACTGTTTCCCAGCTTTGGCTTTGATGAGGGTTATTGTACGAGGCTTCCTATGATGTGTATCACTGTGGTGCAGACTGAGTGCACAGTGATACATAGCGGAGTCTGTCAGCCGCAGGTCGGCGATGGTTAAAACGCTGATTTTCTTGGCAGTGTCAAGAGAAACAGAAATATGATCTCCAGTGGGGTTTCCTCCCTCTCCTGAGGGTTTTCTGTGGAGCAGGTATTTCAGTCCCTCGCCAGGGGACTGACGGTACCAGGAGACGCTGAAATCCTGTCCGCAGTATCCTGAATATTGGCAATGTAAATTTATCCTCTCATCAGCAACAGCAGTTTGTTCAGGCGGTGACTGGGAAACTGTATAATTGGATCCTGCGGGACGCAAATTACAGTTTACTTAGAGTCATGGAATCATTGAATCTTTCAGCACAGGAAGAGGCCATTCAGCCCATTGTGTCTGAGAAAAGAGCTTTTAAAAATGCCAACCAATATAATCCCGCTCTCTCGCAAGAACACATAGAACTTTATAATTCCTTTTGATGCATGCAGCCAATTCCATACTGAAATTATCTTTCGAATCTGTTTCCACCACCCGTTGAGGCAGCACATTGCATTCAATAGGAATTTTCAGTGAAAATAAATCCTTCTGCTCTCCCCTCTTGTTCTTTTACCAATTATCATACATTTGGGTTCATTGGTGACTGAACCACTTGCCAGTGGAAGCATGTTATCCTTCTCTGCTCTATCAAAAACACTCACAGCTCTGAACACTTCATCTAAATCTCCGCTAAACCTTCGATGCTCTCAGGAGAAGATTGCCAGATTCTTCATACAAACTAATTCCCTCTGTCTTGGTATCATTTTGCTAAATGGCCTTTGCACCCTGTCCAAGGCCTTCACGCATGTGTCCGTGAAAGGTACAAAGACAATTGTAGGGATTAATGTTACATCAACAGTGGAAGGAGCAATGGGATGTATTAAAATAGGCATTTCTTGTAGCTGAGCCATGTTTTATTGCAGACGCAAACCTTATTTCTATGACTGTATACCATTGATATGATCTCTCATAAATGAACCGTTTAATTGAGGTTTGTTTCTCTAATCTTATATTTGTTTGCTGTTGCGGTTTGTCGACATTGAGGCTTTGGGTGTCTGCGATCATGGGAATGTTTAGCAGAGAATCAGGTGTCAGGTTGTACCGTTAACTTCAGCGCGTTTACAGTTGAAGCAAATGGAAAGCTTCTCTGCTGTAAATATCGTTACTTTAACATCGCTGCTGAGGAGATTTATTCTCTGGTTTGTTGCCAATATCAGTTTCCCTCTCAGTCTGTGGGCTGCTCATTGCAGTTTCAATTGTGCCAGAAGCAAAGTGCTTTCTCTCTCTCTCTCTCTTTATGTGTTGCTTCCTTTCTTGCTCTGTCTTTCTGTCTGTCTGTCTTATTTTCTTTCTTTCTTTCTTTCTTTCTTTCTTTCTTTCTTTCTTTCTTTCTTTCTTTCTTTCTTTCTTTCTTTCTTCTTTCCTTCTTTCCTTCTTTCTTCTTTCCTTCTTTCTTTTATCTTTCTTTCTTTCTTTCTTCTTTCCTTCTTTCTTTCTTTCTTCTTTCTTTGTCTTCTTTCTTTCTTTCTTTCTTGATGTCTTTCTTTATGTCTTTCTTTAGGACTTTCTTTCTTTCGTTCTGTCCCTCTTTCTTTCTTTCTGTCCCTCTTTCTGTCTAATTCTTTTTTCATTCTTTCTTCAAATGTCATGGCTTACATTTTCGCAACATGCAGTGTTTTTGCAGGCTTGCATATTGACTTGCTTGTTGGTGTAGAATAAAGCAGAATTACCTGGGATCTCTCAGCGAATATGGAGAGAGGAAAGTGTGTTAACGTTTCAGGTGGATGAACTTGATTCAGAAATTTAGACCCCACTTTTCGGGAGAACAGAGGAGGTTATTGATGATAATACATCATTTTACCCAGCTCAAGTACAAATTCATTACCCAATTAATATCAATTTACTCTGGTCATGTTCCTTTGGAACTACTGTGCAATCCAAATCAGTGACTTTCAAAACATGGAAATAAAAGTTGGTCATTTGAGAAACAAACCTTGATGTAGTATTCGGTTAGAATAATGTTTTTTGACAAACTCACGTGAATAAACTTTTATGTTAATTCGTTAGAAATGTTTCGCACTTACTTTTCGTTACAGTTACTTTGGTTCCTGATCCATCTTCTGTATATTCCTCATAATAACACATTGACACAGCTCTCATTCAACAAGGTGCAAAAACTGTTCCATCGAGTCATGGTTTAATCCTGGCACCAAAACAAGCAAATGCAGACAAATTGTTAATAAATTCCTATACTTATACCACAGTCCCATTTCTATAATATTCGTTTGTCCAAATCATGCTTATTTTCAGTAAGTTTTCCACATAAACACAGTCAAAGCGCAAAGACCGAAGAACATATTTCTGCAAATAATTCTACAAAATATGTGGAAATAATTAATATTGAAAGCTAACTTTCGATACTTTCTGGAGCACAAAACAGGACAATGTTAGCGATGATCACGTCTCATGTATTTCCGTAAAAATTAGCAGTTCGGTAATTGTGCTGATGTTTTCCAATGTGGCTTCCCCAGTCAAGCACAATGTTTAATAAGAACACAAAAACACAGGTTTGCAAAACAATTCAAATGATTTCGGCTATTTATAAATGATCAATTAATCACATAACGTGTAACATTCTTTTGAATATTTTCTCAGTAAATTTGCATGCCGTCTGTCCCTTGCAATAATTTATAAGGTATATGAATCCAAACAACGTAGTAACTTCAGATTGATACACACTCACTTTTCCTAAGTATTCATAACTGACAGTCGCTGCTTAAAGGAAGTATTCTTAAACATAGCTGCACATCACACACGAATGAGGAACACGCACTGAACTCATCGGCAATTTCACATTCTCTGTGTTTTTCCTGTGAGTTGGTGACGGGGCTTTTTGTACTGTTGGAAGCCCAGATACGGCATTGTGTTACTCCAGTCATATCGAGCTCTACAGTAATAATCAGCGCTGTCTTCAACTTGCAAGTCATTGATTTCCAGAGAAGAGGACCACGATCCCATGTCTGTCTTCACAACAAACCGTCCTTCACGAGGAATGGGCTTCCAATTTCTTTCATTTGGAAACCGCCTATAAAACTCCATACTTTTGAATTTGCTTTGAAAGCTTGCTGAGAAGACGCAGTTGATGGTTAGAGACTCGCATTCTTCTCTTCTAATAGAGGATGGTGTCTGTGTTACTGAGGCGCTGAAAACATCTGAGAAATTATGCACAATATTACATCAGTTTAACAGATTTTCAACGTTGACCACTGCTATTACAATTCCAGTGCAACTTTTGGCTTTATCTCCCTTGATATCAGTTGATATAATATACTCAGGATTATGTAGTATCATTATTATATTAATTAATTAATATGATTATAATATATAATGATACTAAAGTAAAATAATTGCCTGCCGCGTTTCGCCCATCAAAATACAAAGTTATTTCAGCATAAAATTATTATGTGAAGCGATTTGAGACGTCCCATCCACAACATAACGCTATACATCAATTACAAGGATTATTTGTACAGTATAGTTACAGTACTGATGACATTCACTGGTGCTGTGAAGTGCTGTGTTGTGGAAACCACCACTTACATTGTAAGAAGAGGAAGGAGATGGAGACACAGAGGAGAGACATTCTCTCACCGCTGGGAGTTACCGTCAGCCCCGGACACCTCAGAGTGACTATGAGTAACACAGGGCTGTTCTGTAAGAGCTTTGGAGACTTGGTTTATTTGTGATGAACAGCGTCACATCATGGCTCGTGTCAGCGGCTTTGAGGAGTGGGCGGTGTGTGGTTTGGGGGTGGAGGGTAACAATATACATGAGGAAAGGGACTGACTCACTGTGCCCGAGAGCAGTGGGCAAAGAGGGCGATTTGGGAATAACTATTCGAGTCTCATTTAGGTTTAAATAGACAATTGACGGGGAAGCCAACGAGATGGAGTATAATCTGACACTGTGAGAGGGACAAAGGCTGTTTGGTGTAGAGAGGGCTTTACTGGGAATTGGGAAAGGTACATAAAGAAACTACTCACACACCTTTGACTTGAAGTGAGTCCTGTTACAGTGACCAGCAGCTGGATGGGGAAGCCGGTCAAGGCAGCAGAGAGTGAGTGAGATATGGGTGATGATGGATGGGAAGGTGTAGGGAGAAATTGGAGTAAAGGAGTATGGCATGCGGTGGTTTTATAATTCATGGGAATAGAAGGGGTGACAAAGGGATGATGGAGGAGGAAGAGAAGGCAGCGAACATGATGGTCACTTTTCAGCGTATCATGAGAAGGAGTTTTTCACGACTTAACGATATGGTAATGCACTGTATTATTATACAAGCAATACTATTAATTCCTGACTGTCTGTCTCTATTTCCGTGTGTCTGTGTATCTGTATGTGTGAGTGTGTTTGTGTGTGTGTGTCTGTCTGTCTTTGGCTGTCCGTCTGTGTGTGTTTCTCTCTCACTCTCCCTCTATTTCTCTCTCTCTCTCTCTCTCTCTCTCTCCAGCTCTCTTTCTTTGAATCGTTAGTAAAGCTTCCTTGCTGCACACACATACGCCTCTGTTTAATGTTAAGTGCAACCCTCTTGTTTTTCGAACGCTTCACCTCTTTCCAGCGTTAAAACATCTCTGCCATATAATAATAATAATTGAATTATTAATCCATCACTAAATATGGGACGCCGCCTCTTTTAGGCGAAACGTGCCAATGGTTTCGCCTAAAAAACAGTCTCGACGCTTTACAGTATATTTGTGAAGTGTTTGGTGGCGTCTCGTTGACGTGATGGGGCGCTGTATAAAATGCAAAGATTGTTAGTTTTGTTTATTCTTTTCAGAAATATCATTGGTCTTGAGCATTGTGGTGATTTAGCGGTATGAGGAGCAGCTGATCACTTTTGGAATAAGAAGTTTGGGATTATTTTTTGACTTGAACTATGGACTGGGAGAGCAAAGCAGTTTTGGGATTTGTGTGAGGGAGAGGCGGTAGGTTGATCATGTTGGAGTCCACTGTCATCTTATAAGCCTTATAATCCTTGCATTGTATATGGATCCTTGTCACGACGCAAAGAGATTCAAAAAATAGACTGAAGAGTTGATTGATTTTACATTTTCTTGGAAAAATAAATCATCCAATTGTGCACAGCAGTTTCCCAAAAACAGTCGCAGATTGAGCGATCGAATTAATATTTTACTCATTTAGTTATTTTCTTGCTTAAAAAAATCAATGCATGTGTTTTCTTTTTTAATTAAACATAGTTTTAATTATCTACGAATCGAGTAACAAGTGGGCTCCTACTTATTTTTAGGTAAACAAAGAGACGTGTGAAGTAAGGTCAATTGCCTAAAAAAAAATTTCCAACCAGGAATCGAAACCAGCTCCTCTCACTACTGATATCATTGCTCTAACCACTAAGATAAAAGACAACACGTTGTGTGCAGTGCTCAACACTCATAAGGTTTCCTCCTGATGCGAAAACTGCTGCATAAAAAATAGATTTTTGTATTGTTATACAGCGACATCTATTGGCATTTCAGGAGAATGTCAGGAGTTGAAGTATCAAACCTAAAATCTTGGTTAGAATTACCAGAGTGTCCATTGTGGACTGTACACCATTAATATGAATATTCAGATTAAAACCCTCCACTTCAACAGCGCCTTCATCAACCTCTACTTACGATATCTTTGCTCCACGAATTCCCCCCACCATAACAGGACTTGTTAAATAGGTCAACTGTCAGACGAACATCTGTGCTGAGATCAAACCTTCTCTCTCCTCTTTAGTGATTTAGTTCCAGTGGTGTAGTCTGTCAATAACACGGAGAAATAATAATAATATTCCTTGCATTTGATACAGCGACTGATCACATCTGCCAGAAGTCGCAAAGCGCTTCAAAGGATACGCTGCAAAATCTATTGACTGTATATGTTGTGGATGAAACGCAGCAGCCAACGGCACTCATCGAAGTACATCAAACTGTCGTGGATTGAGTGAAAAAAATATTATTATTTTTTAAAAGTATCAATACCCCAGAAAAAGCGATCCGCCAAACGACAACCAACCGCTTTCCTACTAACTGTGTTTTGCCCGATTGGGAATCAAACGTAAATCCAGTCGATTGCGAGGCGAGTGATCTAACATCTAAGGTACTGGATTTCAATGGATTGAAACTCTCTTTGCAAGAACTTTTCGTTTATATGTAAAACAACGAAAGCAGAGTTCTTTGGGGTAACATTGTGCCTGAAGGTTAGTTGGGTTTGTGTACAGGGAAGTCATTGCCTTGCAGCACTGTGCATCTGATCTTAAGCCACAATAGTACGCGGCAGAGTCAGTGACAATGACACTGAGAATGATTAATGTGGTTTGTTCCTGATTCTTGTCCAGATGTGAAGTGAAACGGCCTTTGGCGTAATCTGCAGTGTTGTCTACCCCATTGGTATGTCTGTAGAGAATGTATTGTGGAGCGAGGCCTGGGTGATGTCTGTACCAGTACAGAGCAGCATAGTTCGAGCTGGTGGTATATGAGCAGCTTAGACTCACTGTGCCTCCCTCTTGTTTGCTCAGCTCCGCTGTCTGCTGTCTGACTGGATCTCCCAGCACCACATCTGCAACGAGAGGAAAGGATCAACTTGAAACATGGCGCTATATTACTCCTGTAGCTCAGTGGACATTGTACTCGCCTCGAAAGCAATGGGACTCGGGTTTTATTCCCTGGCAGGACAGGGATAAACTTTGGAAGTTTCCTATCTGTACATACGCCTCTGTTAACCGAGCAGTAAGTAGGAAACCAGCTGCTGGTCGATTGGTGGAAGACTTTTCGGGGATAATAATGGCTAAATAAAGTGTGGTCACTCAATCCACGACTGTCTGTGGGGAAAATGCTGTGCGAATTTGGATGCCACTTTTCGCCCACTAAATACGGAATCAATATACTATCAGGTATATGATTTTAAGTGGTTTGAGACACCTCCAAAAGCTGAAAAGTCGCTATATCGAATGCAAGGATTATTACTATTATTATTATTATTAGTATTATGCTTCGGCAACTAATAATTTGACTACTAACCCACGTCGGGAGACAAAGCCAAGAATGTTAAATAGCTTGAGCCTTCCTTCAGATGAGACAGTCTCTATATAAACATAAATCTGTATTGTATGACACACAGCCTCACCTGACATAAAGCTCAACAGGATAAGGTAATCCATGAACAGTCGCATTGTCGCCATTCACCACGAAGCTTTTGCCACCAGAGTTTGATGATGGAAACTGTTTGTCGACGGTGACGGGTTTCAGCATCACATCCGTGACCCCACAGCAGTTTCCTTGACAAGCTCAAACCGTGACCTTGCTGTCAGGCTGACAATTATGGACATTGGACTAAACTCACTTTTATATTCAGTGATTTCAGTGCCATCCCAACATCATTACATAACTCTTTTGGATAAAATCTGGTGAGTTGGAATCACAATCATCCTTGCATTTCATCAAGGGTCGCTGAGACAACAATTACAACAACAAGTTGCATTAAGCTGCGCCTTTCGTGTCGGGAGAACGTCCAAAGTCTCAGGACAGGGAAGTGTTCTGCACTGGAGCTGCAGTTTGGGAGGAGATCGGGCTGGAGAGCACAGTGAGTGGGGGATGCATGATGTGTGAAGAGACGGTTTTAATGGAGTCTTGAGAAGGAGCCAAGCGGACGGAGAGTTTCTATTTGATGGTGTGTATCCCTTTCCACCTTTAAATGCTTCCACGGTCTCTGCCATCCAACCTCAGCGACTTCCACAAACACTACCAACCAGGACACTCATTTCCCTCTGTCAGGATATCAATAATTGTTTAGCTTCGATCCGTGGGATGATTAAAATCCACATAAGCAGTCATAGATTCAGTGACCAACATTATTTTGATGGGATTATTATCCCCTGAAAAACTGAACCACCAATCGATTTGCAAACGAATTCTTACTCACTGCTCGGTAAACAAGGTGTGTGTGTGTAGTGGGGAATATTGCCTAAGGTTTCGTCCGCCATGGAATCGAATCAGCGTCCTCTCGTTGGCGATGCGAGTGTTACTCCCTCTCCGCTAAAGGTTTCCGTGAAATTTAATAAAACAACAGAACTTGATTCATTAAAAAAAATTTTGTAAATCGAAGTACATCCAGAGCAGCTGGAACTGTAACTACTCATTAATTGTTTTCTGCCTTTATTGTGCCATATAATGATGTGAATGTTTATCTCACAAGTTGATGTGAGGCGATTGTTGTTTCCTCTGAGTCTGACAACAGACATGTCTGATCCCCGCAGGGCCTCAAGGCCTGACCAAGGTTCTGCACACACTTCAACAGACAGATCATTCCTATGTGGAAAGCGAAGGCAGTTTTTGTACGAGACTTGCAGTGCAGTCTATCACTGTGGTGAGACTAAAGGCACAGTAATACACAGCGCTGTCAGACACCACCAGCTCAGAGATGGATAAACTGGTGGATGAAATGGATTTGTGCAGCTGAGCAGAGAAACGATTTCCAAATCCTGTTCCTCTGTACTGATTTTCATTCCCAGAATATCTCCGAACTATATACTCTGGCTGCTTGTCTGGGTAATGTCGGTACCAGGAGAGATCGTAATCGCTTAATGTAGTGGAATAAGTACATTCAAAACTCGCAGTTTCTCCTTTTCTCTTAACCATCGAGGCAGCCTTCTGACTGACAGAATTCCCATCACAGAGTTCTGTAACAAACATGGATTATATTATTCTTCACTGTTTGCTTGAATTATTTTTCTCAGCGCTTATCCGGATGAGAAAAGTGCTGCACACGTGTAATTTGCTAATAATGAAATAATAATAATCAAATTCTTTTACATAGCACATTATCGCATTTTTGAAACTCCTGAAAGCGCTTCACACAGTATGCGGCAAAGTTAATTCCTGTGTGTCTTTATTGGGGAAAAGCAGCAGCGAATTGCGCAGTGCATCGAGGCACATTATTTAGTGGAATGAGTTATCAAGTTATCCATTTACACCATTTCAACGATTATTAACTCGGATAAGCGATCCATCAATCTACTAAAAATATTTGAGAAATCATTGCAATTCGGAGGGTGTTATTATTCCTTATGATAAAACGGGTGATGAAGCAAACAATGACCGACATACTGCTGAGTAAACAGATGCGTGTGAGTGGAGTGAGGAAACTTGCCAAAAACATTGCCCTGTTCTGACGGGGAATCGAACGCAAGTCTTGTCGCTTGCGGGGCGAGTGCACTAAACACAAGGATTCAGGTCTGCCTCCGCCAAATGTTGTTCAAATGGAGATGAAAATCATCACCAACATTGAATTAGCTCAACACGGCCTCACCTGACATGAAGGATCCCAGCACCAGACAGACAGCAAACAGCCTCATTGCTGCTCTTCAGTCTGTGTGGTTGAGTCTGTGGCATCAGTTTGCTGATAACCCGCAGTGATTGTCGGCATTAGCGGAGCCACAGTCTCACGTCACCTCATTGGCATCTCAGCCGCGTTTCAGTACAATAACCAATTGCTTTGATACAGCGGCTTTCACCAGTCACCGGGGTAGAGAGTCCTCTCACTCAGCTACTATTAACCATGCAAGCTATAGCGCTAATTAAAAGCGTGCTGACAGATGGACAAACAGCGGGAGCGTTTGCGGGACAGCTCTATCAATGGCAAGTTATGTGCATTTTGCTGGCTAGACTCCAGCAGTTCGCCCGACATATACTCTGAGGATCCCCTGCCTTGCCTCTGGCCAACGTTAGCCGAATGCTCTCTGAAAATAAGAACGAGGAATGCGGTCCTCCAAGAAGTGTATTGCTTTTCAACAATCTATCTCTGGGTTTTCCGTTTGTCGGTGGCATGCATGGAAGTATCAGTTATGTTTGGAGACCCTGAATCACGGTGATGCCTTTTCTTAGTTGCTGTCCAAAAGAAAACACCACAGAGAGAATGTGGAATAGCAGTATTTTAAAGGGTTGCAATTCTATCCAGGGGATGGCTTGGAAAGTCGTCTCACTATTCGCATGTAATTTTAGTGCAATTTTCGCAACGTCATATAACGGTAAACCAATAATTCTTCGTGGAGTCCTGTAGCTCAGTGGTTAGAGCACTCGCTTTGCAAGTGAGAGACCTGAGTTCAATTCCAGGCAGAGGGCGAACCATGGGCAAGTTTCCTTACTCCACACAGAGCCTAATAATAATCCCTCCAAAAAAAAAACAATAATTAAATTGGTCATTTTCACTCTACGACTGTTTGTGGGACATTGCTGTGCGCAATTGGCTGCCGCGTTCGCCCACAAATATACAGTCAATTCACTTTACAGTGTGTTCTGTGAAGCGCATTGGGACGTCCTCCGGACGTGAAAAGCGCTATATCAAATGCAAGGATTATTATTATTATTATTATTATTGTAATAATAATGTGTCGAGATTCCCAGTGGCTTATATCACCTGAGGCTCAGAGTACAGTAACACACCCCGATGCCAGTCACTGTGAGGCCACAGACACTGAAGCCCCCCTCCCACACACTAAATCCACGCCTCACAATTATGTTGATCTGTTCTGAGCCCCAAAGGGCAATTTGTCACTATAATAGTTCACATTGCAACAATGAATTGAGCCAATATTGCCACTGGCAATTGTACATTCTTGTATTTACGTACTATTTACCCAGCAGTATATAGGAATCCGTTGTTATTCGATTGGCGAATCACTTTCCGAGTTAATAATCCCTCCGAAATGTGTTGGTCACTGCTATCCGCCAATCGACTAACAGATGAGTTAAAAGTTACTGCTATTTAAACAGAGGTGTGTGGAATAAAGAAACTTGCCCATCGTTTCCCCCACCGTGAGTCGAACCCAGGTCTCTCACTGTCGAGGTGAGTGTTCTGACCACTGAGCGACCGGACATCGCAGATATAAACTTTGAATCAATATTGGTCATTGATTGGAACATTGGCACATTGAAATACCGAACATTGGTTTGTCAGCCTGAAACTTTAGGAAACCCATCGCCAAGCTATAGAGACTCCAAATATCGCTTCCTCGCATCTCCTCATGGAAATCACTGAAATAGTCTTTTTGAATGGAATGAGCATTCTCCTCCCTTATGGAACTGTGCAGTTTAGCTAAATCCGTCAATGATTAGCCGCAAGTTGGCGAGAACCAAGGCTTGAGGACCCCCACATTACGCTTTGGGGTAACTGTTGCTGTATAACCAGCTAATGCCACATAGTTTCCCGTTCACACCGCCAATTCGCAGCAACTTCTTTTTTGCAGTATATTTTGTGAAGCCGTTTGAGACATCTCGAAGTCGCGATAAGGCGCTACATTAAATGTAAGATTCACTATTAATTCGTTCACTTTTTCCCTACACGAACTGTTCCATCACATTTTGCTTGTGGTTGGCAATCAGCCGCGTGTTTCCTCTGAGAGACACAGGAGCAAAGTAAAAAATGTGAATTAGGTCAACTGTCAGCATTAACATCTGTGCTGAGATGAGACCCTTTCTCTCCTCTTTGGAGGTTTATGCACATTGATGTAGTCTGACAGTAATACTGTGTGTGTGACGGTACAGTAATGTTTGACCATGTCAGGCAGAGCCACGGGGAACACAAATAGAGTGGATCTCTTCCTGCCCATGTACAGATTTGGCGTTAAACTTTGCGTTGCAAATTCAGCAATGAATACATCCCCCTCAGAATCATGTCTCCTTGTGTACAGAGGAGGTTCTCTTGGATACTGACGATATCAGAATATTAAAACATTGGTGCAATCAGCAGAGAATTTGCAGCTCAGGGTTACAGTCTGTACTTCAGTAACAGACATTTCAACCTCTGATGGATCAACACCGACTCCATCTCCTGTCCCTATAGCCAGAGAAAACATGTTTATCAGTGTCATACAAAGCCCGGAGGTAAACCCACTAATTGTTTTAAGGATTAGGGTGAAAGACTTAACATCAGGCACTAAAAAAGTGAATGTAACATCGCAAAGGAATTAACAGCGCAAGTGTGCTGCCCTGTTATCCACAAAGCACATAGCAACTCTAATTTGCAATCAAAATATGTGAAGAGCTTTAAGTTATACTCTATACCGAAAAACAGATAAGGACTGTTGTTCCTTCATCTCCAGGATTTATTTTCCATGCTGGGTTGTCAAAAATTCAGCCTTGTGCTCCAACGTAGGTCAAGTAATACCCATTGATTATCTTGACTTCATCTACTGCGAGTA